AGAGAGAGAGAGAGAGAGAGAGAGAGAGAGAGAGAGAGAGAGAGAGAGAGAGAGAGAGATATTTTACATTAATCCAGAGTTTTGCTTCCTTTGTAGTTACGGACGACTTTATGCTGCAGACCCCTACCACCACACACTTGCTCCAGCAGCCACCTACGGCGTTGGTGCCATGGTAAGTGTTTGCCTCCTTCTTCCACTACATCCTTCTAACCCGGCTTCCTTTTTCCTCCCTTCGTCTCCTCCGTTCTTAACATGGTTGACATCTCCTCACTTCTCCTTAATTGAATTTGTCTCTTCTGCTAACGGCTGCTAAAATGCCACCTTAAATCCTTCCCCAGTAAACTTGATAAATGTCTTAATTTCTTGGCAACGCAGTGCAATGTAAGTTATTATATATACATTTTTTTTTAATTTTGCAAGTATCACCTAGTTTAGCACTTACCTTAATGGAATAATTAGTCATTTTGATAATTAAATCCATCATGAGTAGAAGGCATTCGCGGAGATGTCCGTGCTCCTTACTCCCCCCACCACCACCAATTGAATTTATACAACCCTGAGGTCCAAATCACACCAGTGCTTCTTACAAAAAGCGGAAAACGAGATTTCCGAGCTGGTGCATGCAGTTAGCCCACTTCCTGCTATTTCCTCTCAATTAAAGTTAATAATGAGTCACACAGCAAGAGAGGAAGGCTATATATCTAGCCCATTCTTGAAATATCCTGGTTCAGAGGAACCTGTAGTTGTACAAAAGCTAAAATGTACCCATCAAAAACTCACAGGGAAATTGCATTGGAAACTGTTGATCTTTTTTTGCATTCTGAGCAAACGCCACTCCTGGAGTCAAAACTGAAGCCACATTTTACCATTACATTAAAATAACATGTAAAAAACGAGCAAATATTAGCATCAGCGATGGACAGAAATGGAGACAAGCTTGCTTGACATTAACTGAATCCCTCAAAAACAAAACAAAACAAAAGACTCAAGCCACAATCATTTTTGTTTACACATTTATTGTGTGTGTTTGTGTGTAAGAGAGAGTGTGTGTACTGTATGTGTGCATTCCCACTCAAAAAATATATGCCGTATAATTTTCTAGGACCTGATGTAGAAGTGTTATACTGGAAGCATTGCCTTCCTGTCTTAAAATTTCTTTCTTTCTAAATAACCATGATAGAAGCAACAGCCCTTTACTTATGAGGCCAAATCAAAATAGAAAAGAGTGAAGGAAATAATCCAGTATCAAAACAAAGTCTTAGACCAGTGACGGTGAACCTTTTCGACACCGAGTGCCCAAACCAGAATGTGTGTGCATGCGTGCCCATGTGCTCATGCCAGAGCACCAGCTGGCCGGTGCCTGCATGTCTGTTTTTGGCCATTTTTCTGTCTGTTTTCAGGCTGTTTTCTGGGCCATTTTTAGGCTGTTGTTCAGGCTATTTTCGGGGTGTTTTTTGGGCCATATTCAGGCAGTTTTTTTGCCCAGAAAATGGCCTGGAAAAGGCCTGAAAAACAACCTTGTTTTTGGCTGTTTTCAGGCCATTTTTCTGAGCCATTTTCAGGCTATTTGGGGGGCCTGAAGATGGCCTGGAAAACAGCCTGACCATGGCCCAAAAAACAGTCTAGAAAAGACCCGAAAAACGACCTGGTTTTTGGCTGTTTTCAGGCCATTTTTCTGAGCCATTTTCAGGCTATTTGGGGGGCCTGAAGATGGCCTGGAAAACAGCCTGACCATGGCCCAAAAAACAGTCTAGAAAAGACCCGAAAAACGACCTGGTTTTTGGCTGTTTTCAGGCCATTTTCCAGTGCTCCGCACTTGCTAAAACCACCTGACCAGCATGCCAGAAATCAGAACAGCAGCTGGTGATGGTGAACGTGCCCACAGAGAGGGCTCTGCGTACTACCTCTGGCACACATGCCATAGGTTCACCATTAATGTCTTAGACCATCTAGCTGTATCATCCGTACAACGTTCCCCAGTCAAATTTGCACTGTATTCTTCAGAAAGAAGGCCATTTTATATGTGATATCCCTAAGTCCTAACCACAAATAAAATACGGGTAGTTCTCAACTTACAACAGTTTGTTTAGTGATCATTGGAAGTTACAACGTTCCTGAAAAAAAGTGACTTATGACCATTTTTCACACTTACAACCATTGCAGCATCCCCATGATCACCTGATCAAAATTCAGATGCTTGGCAACTGACTCATATTTATGACAGCTTCAGTATCTCAGGGTCATATGATCCTTTTGTGACCTTATGGCAGGCAAAGTCAACGATGCCAATTCCTTTAACAACCACGTACCTCACTTAACAACCATGTTACTAACTTAACAACTGCAGCGATTCACTCACTAAGACAAGAAAGGTAATTAAAATGGAGGCAAAACACACTTAACAATTATCTTGCTTAACAACAGAAATGTTGGGCCTTAATTGTGGTCATTGTCATCTGTCCAGCTAGAGAATCCAGAAAAGGAATTCTTGAGACATTTTGCTTCCCAAAAGTAAAACTTTATTAAATACGCTACATTGGCACAGAAGAAGCAAAACCAGCTCTGGTTTTCTCATGCACAAAAGCTCATATAGTTCAACTTGCTTTTTCCCTTTGTCCATCCCTCTCAGTCCATTGCGTTGTTCAATTGCATCCACTTCTTTTGTTATGGGAGCAGTCCAGATTGTTCAAACACCTGCATGGCGTGGCCTTGAGGGTGGTAGCAGGGTCTCACAATCTGCAGATGGAGTCTTGGCATTCCATTCCCACCCCGACATTCCAACCACCCCGACATTCCAACCACCCCTCTCCCGATTGTTGTCCAAGCTGAGAGTGAAGACACAAATAACTGAAAGAGCCAAACAGAAGAACTCTTCTGAGGTTCTCCTGAGATGCATATGCTGCTGAACTGTTCTTCATAGCCATGATTCAGGATAATGTTCTGTGACAGGCAATCAGTCAATACATGTGCTAATGCCTCGGTCTCTACTGCATCACATATATGTTCAAAGAAAAAAGGAATTTGAGTACATCTTTCCTCTTTTATCACAGTGCCTGTCTATTCAAATCTCAGATGGGCAAATACCCTCCTAAGATACTGTACTTGGGCATTTTGATAAGTGCATACTTTTCAATCTGAAAAATGCATTTATAATTACTCATCTATTCAGCATGCCAGCATTACTGAAAGCAACAATATATTTTTGAGTTTATAAGCTAAGGATTCTTGGTACAACAATTTTCTTAACCTTTTGTCCAGTCACTGCTTAAATAAGCCCACAACACCTATTGAATAGAGCAAAGCAGAACAGAACAGAGCAACAGAAATTTCACTTTATTTCTAGGCTGGTTCTTTCCTTGATTACTTTCCATCCATTGCTTCTTGTCCTGCCTTCTGGGGCTTTGGGGAATAGGTTGAGCCCCTCTTCTTTGTGGCAGCCCCTCAAATGTTAGAACACTGCTATCATGTCACCGCTAGTCCTTCTTTTATCTAGAGTGGCCATGACCCATTCCTGCAACCGTTCTTTATATGTTTCACTCTCTAAATCATCCTCTTTGTTGCTCTTTTCTGCNCTTGTATTTACTGCTACCTTGGAAAACCTGCTTTTGGTAATGTATTGTATATTATTATTATTTTGAATCCTGCTGAATCAGTTACTGTGCTTTCTGGATGTGATTGCTGCTGTAAAACTCCAACCAGCCAGGTCAGCTTCAGCACTTATTGCAGCCTGATTCGGTACAGCTGATTGGCAGGTGGATCAGACTGCCGAAATACCCCCAATCAGCTGTTCCGGGCTACAGGGATTGCCACAGACCATCGCTGCCTCCATGCCTTGTGTTTTATACTCTGAAAAATACGGTAATTCTAGTAGGATGGAAGTGGCATGTGATTTTTAAAAAATGTATATTGCTATTTCTCCTCCAACAAAATTCCTCTCAATGTATCATCTTAGGAGAGATAGCAAAAATCCCAGTTTCAAGCAGAAACCCAGCTTATCATACGACTGCTTTATCTCCCTTAGACATATACTGTAGCAGTCAAAACTCCTAGAGAGTGAACAGTGTCTGCAGTACTTCATTCTAACCACCACACCACTGTGTCACCATATGTGTTTTAAAATCAAATCTTAATCTTAATATCATAAAACAGTGGATTTTTAATTTTCAGCTCTAAAACAGAATTTATATTTGAAATTTTGCTCATAAACTAAAGAATGAGAAAGTAGCATATTTTAAATATCCCTAGACGTGTTTTGAGTTCTGATATTTACTGCTTTATTAATAAACATGAGATGCATTTGCCAAAGTTATATAACCAAACCTATGTTCGCTACTCATTCCATTCAATAGGCTGCATTATTTTCTTTTCCTATTTCTTCAATTGATTGACAATTTTGCAATACATTTACCAGAAATACCATGTTACATGTTAGAATGAGATGCATTACAAATTGTCATCATAAACATGAAACTCTTACATTGCAGGTCTCAAGAAAGTACTTAAGAGCTCCTTACCCTCTGTAGCTGTGCGACACACAAGATGTGTGAAAGAAAAATAGAGATTTTTCCCAGGGGTAAAATAGGATTCCACAATTTTCCGGGATTTCTCACTGGCTTGCAGGAGAAGTTTAATATCTTTCCAGTTCATGCTACTGTCCTCAGCCAACTATAAGAGAAAAACAAATCAGTGCAATACCTAATTTCTATTAAATCTCAGGAAGATCCAGGGACATCTATGAAAAAGAAAACTGATAAAGACCCATTATGAATATTTTTAACAAAGTAGGATGGAAGAGGTGGCTTCTCTTATATCAAGTCAGAGAAGAAATTCAGATGCTGACAATTTTCTTATGGTTCTAGACCAGGGATGTCAAACTGGTGGCCCACGGGCCAGATGCGTCATACACAGGCCATGCCCACCTGAGCTCTGCGAAGAGAAAAGGTTTCACAAAACATCATGTGATGACAACATGATGCCACATTTGACACCCATGCCCTAGACCAGCGATGGCGAACCTTTTTTGGCATGCGTACCATAAGCGGGAGGTCCGTGCATGGGCGTGCCGCACCCATAATGCAATGCGTGACCTCCCCCCCCAGCGTGCTTGCACGCATGACCCCCATTTTTTGCATGCTTTTTTCGCCCTCCCAGGCTCCAGAGACTTTATAGGAGCCTGGGGAGGGCAAAAACAGCCTCCCCCTCCCCCGGAGGCCCTCTGGAGGCTTCAGGAGCTTCCAGTTTGTCCGTTGGGTCGTTTTTCATCCTCTGGAGCTTCGGGGAAGCCTCCTGAAGGTCCCTGAAGGCTCCGGAGGGCTTAAACCTATGAGCAAACCGGAAGCCCATTCCCGAATTTCCGGTTTGCCCGTAGGGCGGTTTTTTTGCACTCCGGAGGCTTCAGGGAAGCTCCTGAAACCTTGGGGGGGGGAGGAGGCTGTTTTCACCCTCCCCAGGCTCCTATAAAGCCTCTGGAGCCTGGGGAAGGCAAAAATTGGCTTTAAAAAAGGCTGAACTCAGCTGGCCAGCACGTGCAAGCTCTGCGTGCAACCTGTGGCACACTTGCCATACGTTCGCCATCCCGGCCCTAGACTGTCAGTTAATTATGGATTTTTAAAAAATAAGGTATCAATAAAGTGAGAAATAAAAAAAATCTACTCCTTTCCTGGCTCTACTTTCTGCTTTTTATTTACCTTGATAAGTGATATTAAATACAAATGTTCAATTTTCACCTCCAAAAAAATGAGAATTGAGCAAAGATTCCACCACTGGTCATAAAATGCCTTAAAATTCTTTTATCTCATCATCACTAAGTTGTGTCTGCCTCTTTGTGACCAGCCCCCGCCTTCCACTGTCACCCAAGTTTGCTGAAATTCATATTTATTGCATCAATTACACTATCTAACTATCACATCCTCTCCTGTTCCCCTTCTTCTTTTGCCTTCAACCTTTCCCAACATCAGGGTATTTTCCAAATGCATTAGAGATGCATAATAATTCACTCATGGGAGAAAAGGTAGTAATTATTCTCCAGGTTTCTCTTGTAGGCAAACCAGAACCGGAAAATAGGCAGAAAACCCAGA